TGAAGTTGGAGACTTCATTTTCTCTGTGAATGAGAACAAAGTTCTAGCTGAGAGAGCAGATGGAGAGAGGGTTATGAGCCTTGTGGAGAGTCAAGAAGCTGGAGGAGGAGGGAGCTGAGCGGAACAGGAAGCAGGATGCTGAGCTGTGCTGAGGATACAGCTGAGGTTGGAAACCAAACATGTGCAATGTGTTTCCATTAGTCAGGACAGGAAACAGTTCTACGCAACCTCATACTTCTGAGGTGTGTGATGACTGTGGATATTTTACAGATATGATGAGACTTCAATGTACAGTACTCATGATGGCCTTGAAATTGCTACAGATTTACTTAGAACTCTTTTGAGCCTTCTCATACCGCCTTGATGAGTGTCACCAAGGCTTTACAACATGAAACTGAGCCTCAACTTAAAAAATGGTTGAAGCCCTAAGGCTAGCCTGTTAGAAGGGATAGTTACATGAAATCTCCCAGGACACTATCTAGAGTAGGGATAGAGGAAATCAGGGGTCTATGAATGAGGGAAGGAAGTTGGGGCAGTATAGTCAGAGAGTGTGGGTCTCTGGGGCAACATAGTCATATGATGTGGATCTCCAGAATGTGTGAATTTTTTTCATGAGGGTGTAATAAGGAGCAAGGAAATGTTTATTGCTTGCTGGCCCCCTGTTAGGAGGAATAGAGGAAGATAATAAATATTTATTTAATAGTGAATCAGACAGAAAGGAATTTTCTTTGGCTTCTAGAGAAGTGTCACAATTTCTTTCTGGACTAAGTAGCTTTTTGCTAAGTCAAAAGCCTTAATGACATAGTATATGGCACAGAAAATGAGATATAGGTGAGGTGGACAATTCTGTGGACCTGGGTGGCCATAAAACACACTCTCCCCCGAATCTGCAGAAGTCACGAGTCGTCGGTATCAAGCAAACCTGTGACCTAGTGTTATGGTTTATGCTCAGCTAGAACAACAGAGTGGGCGTTGGAGCATGCAGGATCTTGTAGTTGTGGCATGCCAACTCTTAGCTGCCACATGTGGGATCTAGTTACCTGACCAGGGATCAAAGCTGGGCCCCCTAAATTGGGAATATGGAGTCAGCCACTGGACCACCAAGGAAGTCCCCCTTCTCTCTCTGTCTCTTTCTTCTCCCACTCTCCTGCCAGGTGTGGACAGAGTGAGAAGGTGGCCGTCCACACGCCAGGAAGAGAGCCCTCACTAGAACCATCCTGACACCCTGATCGCAGACTTCCAGCCTCCAGAGCCATGAGAAAATCAACGTCTGTTGTATAAACCATCCAGCCTGAGGTCATTTGTTATGACAGCCTGCACTGACAGAGACGTAGGAGGTATCTAGGTAGTAAAATTCAGAGATGGAGAGTAGCACAGTGGTTACCAGGGGCTAGGGGGAGGGAGAGGGAGTTCTTGTTTGATTGGCACAGAGCTTCAGTTTAGGGTGATGAACAAGTTCTGGAGCTGGAGAGTGGTGATAGTTATGCAATAATGTGAATGTACATCATAATACTGAATGACCTGCTTAAAATATAGTTAATCTGGGGCTTCCCTGGTGGCTCAGTGGTAAAGAATCTGCCTGCCAATGCAGGAGACTCGGGTTCGACCCCTGATCTGGGAATATCCTGTATCTGTGGAGCAACTAAGACCGTGAGCTAGAGCTACTGTGCCTTAGGGCTGGCGATCCACAACAAGAGAAGCCACTGCAATGAGAAGCCCATGCGCCGCAACTGGAGAAAAGTCTGAGCAGCAACAAAAGCCCAGAATGGCCAAAAATAAATAAGTAAATAAATAATTTTAAAAAGTAAACTGGTAAATTTTGTTATGTATATGTTACCCACAATTTAAAACATTTTTAGGTAGGAGGAACATCTCCAACAACCTTAACAACAAAAGAATCTCAGGGGCCTCTCCTGGCCTTTCTGAAAATCTGATTCCTTATGATCATCCGAGGCCACAGTGTCACCTCTCCCATGACCGTGGGCACAGTGCAGGTATCCCCCAGCCCAGAGCCTTTGGGAGGCACATACTTCAGCAGATAATACACTGGAGAACGCTTGAAGTTCTTTCTGAATGGGTTGAGGAGCTCTGCGGTCATTGAACCAAAAAGTCTTTTTCCCATGAGGGAAAGAAACATTGAGAAGAAAAAAAAATGTTCGCAGCTGGAGCCTGAATTAGCAGTTTCGTCTCCAAAGACCGGAAGACACCTGGTCCCAGCAGACTTTCTATTGAATTTTATGTGCCTTTCCAAAATAGACTCATTCTGAGCTGACTGGCAAGACTGCCTTCTGTTTGGTGTCTAACACAATTTTATCTAAGCTCAAGCAATCACACATTTTATTTACTTTTTAACAAGGAGAAGACTACACAAAATTACTACCGTAGCTTTCCTAGATCCGGCTGTAGTTCTGAAAACTCAGAGAGCTTAGAACAGAGCAAAGCACATTGTAACAGAGAACATAGGAGTCGGGGGTACAACTGACCGAGACTGCAAACCACACAGCCCTGTTACTGTGATTGGGTCTTGAGGCTGGCAATACTTGCATATCCTCAGAGCTTTTCGGAAATACATCTTCCACCCAGACCCTCTGAATCAGAACATGCATATGAGCTACTTTCCCAGCAACGCATGTTAAGAGAAGCATTGCTACAGAGCCCTGCTCTTTAGACCTCCCTCATCCGAACTGCCTAAAAATACTGCCTAAAGATACTAAAAATGCATCTTCCCTATACCTGGACAAAACTCTAATTCAAAAAGATATCTGCACCCCCAAGGTCCAATGCAGCACTGTTTACGATAGCCAGGATATGGAAATGTCCATCAACAGATGAATGGATAAAGAAGATGTGGTACATATAGACAATGGGATACTATTCAGCCATTAAAAAAGAATGGAACAGGCTATTTGCAGCAACATAAGATCATCATAACTTAAGTGAAGTAAGTCAGATAGAGAAAGACAAGTATCATATGATATCACTTATATGTAGAATCTAAAATATGATACAAGTGAACTTATTTACAAAACAGAAATAGACTCACAAACAGAAAACAGACTCGTGGTTGCCAAGGCTGAGGTGGGCTGGGGGAGGGAAGAACTGTGAGTTTGGGATTAGCAGATGTAAGCTACGTTATCAGTTCAGTTCACTTCAGTCGTTCAGTTGTGTCCAACTCTTCGCGACCCCATGAACCACAGCACGCCAGGCCTCCCTGTCCATCACCAACTCCCAGAGCCTACCCAAAGCTATATCATATAGGATGAATAAACAAGATCCTACGATAGAGCACAGGGAACTATATTCATTACCCTGTGATAAACCATAATGGAAGAGAATATGAAAAAAATCTGTACGTGTATAACTGAATCACTTTGCTGCACAGCAGAAATTTAACACATTGTAAAACAATTATACTTCAATTCTGGCCAGGCCCCTACTGGCCTGAGGGATCTTAGCTCCCCGACTAGTGATGGAATTTGCGCCCCCTGCGTTGGAAGCATGGACTTTAACCACTGGACCCCAGGGAAGTCCTCAATAAAAACTTTTAAAAAAATGCATCTTCCTGTGTCCTGCCCAAGACCTGTGAGAATTATCCACTATGATTCTTAGTCAAAGGAGCATGAGAACTGTACCGGTAGTGCTTCTCCAAAAGTAGCTTTAAAACCCTCTCTGAGAACTTCCCTGGCGGTCTGGTGATTAAGACTGCCTGCCAATGCAGGGGACACGGGTTGGATCCGTGCTCCAGAAAGATTTCACATGCCTGGGGGCAGCTCAGCTACAAGTACTGAACGCTCCCCACCCCTGCCAGAGCCCACGCTGGGCAGCACGGACAAGCCGGTGCACCACAGCTATAGAGTAGCCATTGCTCACCGCAACTAAAGACAGCCTGCAGGCAGCAACAAAGGCTCCAAGCAGCCAAAACTAAATACATAAATTGGTTTTTTTTAAAAAAACCTCTCTGACAATTCAGACACCCCACCCCAGTCCCCCAACCCCACCCCAAGCCCAGCCCTCTCCTGTAGGAACCTCCTTTCTAGAAGATGATGTTTCTTGAGAAACAAGCTGGGGAGGAAAGCAGAGGGAGACAGAAGTGAAAGACTCTGTGCCAGTGGAGTCAGGCGGCTCTGACTTCACACAGCAGGTTTGGATGGATTTTTAAGGACGTTTCTATCTTTATGTCATTCTCAACCTCAAGGTCTCTTTCTCACGCATGTGCGTGCACGCGCACTCTCTCTCTCTCTCTCTCTCTCACTCACTCACAGCGGGCGTTGAGATAAAGGAGTCCTGGGAGACCTTTGCCTTTGAACGATTAACTGTCACGAGGCTCAGACCTTCCAGTGGCTTATCTCCAGGAGCTCCCGATGGTCCCCAGGACTGAGTGAGGCAGTAAGCGCCGCCCCCTCCCCCCCCACCCCGCTTTCTGCAGTGATGGTGTTCCTCCGAGGTTGGCCTTGCCTGTGTGCCCAGCCGCTCAGCTGTGTTCTGCTTTCTGCGGCCCCACAGGCTGAAGTCGCCAGGCTCCTCTGTCCATGGCAAGAATCCATGGTTTTCCAGGCAAGAACACTGGGCTGGGTTGCCATTTCCTCCTCTAGAGCATCTTCCCCACCCAGGGATCGGACCGCTCCTCCTGCACAGGTTGGCGGATTCTTTACCACCGAGCCACCTGCGAAGCCCCCTGACATTGGCCCTGAGTCAAGACAAATGTGTGGTGAGACCTAAGGGGACCGGAGGGCCTTCTGATGGCTGGCAGTGGTGTCTGCCCCCCACCCCAGGTGGCCCTCGTCCCTGCTCTGCACTTGAGCATGTGCCAAGGTCCTGGGGCCGCCACTGCCACAGGCAGCTTCCACTGAGGCTGCCAAGTGGGCTGGTCACTCAGGTCCCTCTGGGCCCTTACCTGACAGTGTGGTTGATTCTACTGGCTTGAGAGAAAGGCCTGCAGCCTGGGCTACTGGGAGGGCATGCAGATAAGGTGAAGGAACATGAGAAGAGATGGCATTTACCTGATGGACTCTGAAGACCAGCCTTGCTGAGCCTGAATGAAAGCCCCTTCTGGAGACCGTTGTTCACGCCACCACCCCAAGCTGCTGCAGGGCCTGGATGAGGGTGACCAGAGAGACCTGAAGGGAAGGCTGGGGCTGGAACAGACGGCAGCGTCCTGTCCTGTCTGGGATGCTGGGGTCTCCACGAGGATCTGAGGATCTCAACGCGTCTGAGCCCCGGACCGCCTCCATGAACCCAGGGCGCTGTCCAAGTACGTGTGAGGAGGTCATGGGGAGGGCGTGACTGTCAGGTGACCTGCGAGTGGACCAGCCCATTGGCCGCCCCTCACGCCTCCGCGGTCCGCGGACTGTGCGGTCCGCGGACTGTGTGTTCCGCCGGCTCTTCCTGCGTGAGCAGCCGTTGACTTCGAGAGAGTCAGTCTCGCGAGAATAAGGTGGTGTTGAACCCATTAAGGCCTGGAAATTAACTTTTCAGATTCTGGGGTGGGCGTGGAGATCTACTTGTCTTTGTATTTGGCGCCCAAGCTGTACTGTACTTAGTCGCTCAGTCGTGTCCAACTCGGCGACCCCATGGACTGTAGCCCGCCAGGCTCCTCTGTCCATGGGGATTCTCCAGGCAAGAGTACCGGAGTGGGTGGCCATGCCCTCTTCCAGGGATGTTCCCCACCCAGGGATCAAACCCAATTCTCCCATACTGCAGGCGGATTTTTACCATCTAAGCCACCGGGGAAGCCCTGGCACCCAAGACAAGCCACCAGGTAAGTTGCCGGCATTGTCGCACCTGCTGCCTGCCACCTACCGGTCTGGAGTGTGCGCCTCTGCTCCCAGGTGTAGCTGATGCCGCTGGTGTGTGGACCACACTCCAAGTAACAAGGATGTAACGTGTGCTTACCAAATGGGAGGCTTAATAGTTTTAAAACTTGTACCTTAAAATTTTGAAATAATTTTGTATTTGCAAGAAATGATGCTGAAGCTGAAGCTCCAATACTATGGCCACCTGATGTGAAGAACCGATTCCTTAGAAAAGATCCTGATGCTGGGAAAGATTGAAGGCAGGAGGTGAAGGGGATGACAGAGGATGAGATGGTTGGATGGCATCACTGGCTCAATGGACATGAGTTTGAGCAAGCTCTGGGAGATAGTGAAGGACAGGGAAGTCTGGCGTGCTGCAGTTCATGGGGTCCCAGAGAGTGGGACACGACTGACTGACTGGCTGAACAACAACAAAAAATAGTGCAAGGAATTCCTAGAGACTCCCCAGCTTTCCCAAATTTAAATATATATTTAAGTATATTTAATCATAGTAGGGGCTTCCCGAGTGGCTCAGCAGTAAAGAATCCACCTTTGATGCAGAAGATGCAGGAGATGCCTCGGGTTCGATCCCTGGGTTGGGAAGGTCGGCTGGAGGTCATGGCAACCCACTCCAGTGTTCTTGCCTAGCAGAATCCATGGACAGAGAAGGCTGGCAGGCTACAGTCCAGAAGGTCGCAGAGTCGGTCACACACTGAAGTGGCTGAGCAATCATAGTACAATTATAAAAACAAGGACTTTTTTATTTTGGTGCTGTGCCCCACAGCTTGTGTGATCTTAGTTCCCTGATGAGGGATAGAACTGAAGTTCTTGCCAGTGAAAGCTTGGAGTCCTAACCAACCACTGAGTCTCCAGGGAATTACAGGCAAGGACCTTGAAATATAGTTGATGTACCATATTATGTTAGTCTCAGGAGTACAACATTTGTGATTTGGCATTTACATACATTATGAAATGATCGCCATGGTAAGTCTAGTGACCATCTGTGCCCACACAGTTATTCTCATATTATGGACTGTATTCCAAAACAAGGAAACTGACGTGGAAATACTATTAACTAATCCTCAGACATTTTTCAAATGTCATCAATTGCCTCATGAATATCCTTTTCCTGGACCAGGATCCATCCAGGATCACATATCGTACTTAATCGTCCTGCCCCTTCAGTCTCCTTGGTCAGGGACAGAGACCACGAGAGCCTTTCAGTGACAGATGGCTATGACAATGACAAACCCTTTGAATTTCTGGCTCATCTTTGAATTCATGTGGTTCTCAGACATCAGTGTTCGTAAGACACATGAGGGGAGCTTGTTTTGCACATTTGCTCCCAGAGAAACTGAATCTGTAGGGTTTGGGTGGTGTTTGGGAATGTGCGTTTTTATCAGTGTGCAAGGGGACTCTGATGCAAGCTGTCAGATGGAGGACCGGGTGAGGCTGACAAGGCTTCAGTTAAACACTTGCTGTGCCATCTTTCCTTCTGCCAGAACAAGCTGCCTCTATTTCTTAAAAACATTTTCTGAAACGTTACACTGACTTGGCACATTTCTAGAGACAGTGTAGACCTGCTTCCCACCCCCACCTCCTTTCATAACACAAGTGCCAGCACAGCAGCTCATCCTGTTCTGTACTTACCTGGCTGGCTGCCTCTCCTTTTCCACGATTTCTGGGCAGTTCTGGGTTCACTGTTTCTCAAAACTTGCCACAAGGGGGCACCAGTGATTTCCTCCTAGTGCTAAGTGAAGTGAAAGTCACTCAATCATATCCCACTCTTGCTCTTACAGTCCATGGAATTCTCCAGGCCAGAATACTGGAGTGGGTAGCCTTTCCCTTCTCCAGGCGATTTTCCCAACCCAGGGATCAAACCCATGTCTCCCACACTGAAGACGGATTCTTTACCAGTTAAGCCATCAAGAAAGCCCAAGAATACTGGAGTGGGTATCCCTTCTCCAGCGAATCTTCCCAACACAGGAATGGAATCAGGGTGTCCTGCATTGCAGGCCAATTCTCTACCAACTGGGCTATCAGGGAAGCCCCCTCATGCTAAGAGTACTCCTCAAAGTTGCCATATTAGTAAATAATTAGCAGGTGTTTGAAGAAAGAGTCCTAGGGCATCTTATCAATCAGACTTTATTTACCACTTAACGGCCTTAACTATCTGGATCTTTCTGCCTTTGATGGCATTAGGATGACTCCAGAACCATCCTTTGCTTTGGGCCACCTCTCCATTAGGAATTAGATTTATTTGCATAGAGTTGGGTGGTGTGCAGGCTTGGTTGGGTTTGCAGGGATTTGGCCTGGGCTGTTCTAGGCAGCAAGGACACAGAATAACGCAGCTGTTGGGTAGAGGCTGGAACAGAACTTCGGACTTGACACACTGCATCAGGTCCTGATGATCTTTTTTGCATCCATTTCCCCCAGGACCAGTGAACAGAACTAACACTCTTGACATGACTCAATGCCCACCCTCAACATCCCCTAGCACCGTGCCCGTGGTGAGTGTATTGTTCAGTGGCAGGCAAGACCCAGAGCTATGCCTATGCTGATCATAGTGGAGGGCTGGTAAATGTTCAGCAACCAGCACGACAAACAAAAACAACAGAAAAAAAAATTATAGTGTTTACCAATTTCTTTGATGCCAAATATTCCCATCATGGCCAATTTCAAGCTATTAATGTGATGTCACTGAATGCCAAGTTGGGAAGTGAGGTGCAGAAGCCAGCTGTACATGTATGTCTACCTCATAAACACGACAGAAACAGAACAAAGTGACTAGGAAAGGATGAGGTCTGTGTGTTTATTATTTTTGTTTAAAAAGTTTTGTGATAAAATACACGATATACCTATGGCTGATTCATGTTGATGTATGGCAGAAACTAACACAAAATTGTGAAGCAATTATCCTCCAATTAAAAATAAATTTAAACTAAAAAAAACAAACACACGAGGGACTCCCCTGATGGTCCAGTGGTTAAGACTGTGCTCCCAATGCAGGGGCCCTGGGTTCAATCCCTTGTTAGGGAACTAGATCCCACGTGCCGCAACTAAAGAGTCCAAGTGTCACAACTAAGATCCAGCACAGCCAAATAAATATTAAAAAGCACATGATACAAAATTTACCATCTTAATGACTAAAAAAAAATTTATTTGGCTGCGCCATGTCTTCGTTGTGGCCTGTGGAATCTAGCTCCTAACCAGACCATCTCAGCTCTATCTATACCCCCTTAGAAGCATGGGGTAAATTTCAGCCACTTTACGATGCCACTCCTAGACCATGGGAAACTATGTAAGTATCTCAGGCATTAGTCACCTACACATGTTTTTTGGAGTGATTCTTACTGATCATAATCCTGTACCCTTTGTATTTGTGGTTGTTCAGTTGCTAAGTCATGTCTGACTTTGCAGTCCCAGGGACTGCAGCACACCAAGCTCCTCTGTCTTGCAACCATCTCCGGAAGTCTGCTCAAATTCATGTCTGTTGAGTCAGGGATGTTATCTAATTATCTCATCCTCTGCCACTGCCTTCTCCTGTTGCCTTCAACCTTTCCCAGCATCAGGGTCTTTTACAGAGTCGGCTCTTCTCATCAGGTGGCCAAAGTGTATATTGTTGGAATTGACTTGCTAAAAACTTTTAAACATTTTTTGTATCAATGTTCATGAGATATATTAACCTATAGTTTTTTAAAAAATCTGTTTATTTTGGACAGCAAGAAGATCAAACCAGTCAATCCTAAAGGAAATCAACCCTGAATATTCATTGGAAGGACTGATGCTAAAGCTGAAACTCCAATACTTTGGCCACCTCATGAGAAGAGCTGACTCATTGGAAAAGACCCTGATGCTGGAAAAGATTGAGGGCAGGAGGAGAAGGGGACAACAGAGGATGAGATGGTTGGATGGCATCACTGATTCAAACGACCTGAGTTTGAGCAAACTCTGGGAGATGGTGAAGGACAGGGAAGCCTGCCATGCTGCAGTCCATGGGTCACAAAAAGTTGGATTCGAATGAGCGACTGAACAGCAATTCTGAAGAGAGCTTTGTTAATTTGTGTCTTTTAAAAGATTTCTCCATTTTACCTAAGTTGTCAAACTTATTGGCATATAGTTTTTAATATTTTCTTATATTTTAATATATAATTTAATTTCAGTAGAATCTGTAGTACTGTTCCCTCATATACTTTTTATCCTAATTAATCTGGCTAGAGGTTTGTCAATCTTATTGATCCACCCGGGGGAAGCAGCATTTGGCTTCAATGGTTTTCTCTATTGCTTCACTTTTTAAATTTTCCATTCTGATCTTCATCATTTCTTCTGTCTGCTTTACGTTTACTTTCAACTTCTTATTCTAGCTTTCTTAGATGGTAGAAGTTTAGGTTATTGATTTAGTTATTAATTTTTGGTCTAAATATTCCTCTTAGCTGATTTAGCTATATCTCACAACTTTTGATATGTGTGCTTCCATTTTCCATGGTTTTCCAGTGTCTGTATTTCAAAATATGTTTGAATGCCCCTTTTGATTTCTGCTTTGACCAACATGATAAGTTTATTAGATTCCAAACATTTAAGGGTTTTCT